TCACGGATAAATGTAGTGTGCACATGGCCAGGAATGCAGTTGGGCAACTTGGAGAGCAGCGTCCTGCTAGTTAGTCTGTGTGGAGGAAGAGACATGGGGGCTGGAAGGGGTGAGGGGGAGACAGATAGAGGCCTCCACAGTGAGAGAGGGAGTGGGGCAAGGGGAGGAGCAGGTGCTGCCCAGCCAGGGCAGTGAATACAATTCCAGTGCCAGGAGCAGGATGGAGCCGTGGGTGGCTCGTCCAGGGGGCAGGTGGAGGGAGGGGCATGTGCCGCCCAGATTTGTGTGTGGGGCGAGGGGAGGCTGCCCACTGTGGACTCTGGGCCAGGGGCTGCACCAGCCTCTTCCAGGTGGTGGGGTGGGAGCTTGGCCCAAGGCGGGCTCACCTGTGTGGGGTGGATGGGCGGCAGTGGCACTGGGAGGAGTGGTTTTGTGGAATTTTGGGGTGGCCATAGACCCTCAAGTCTCCCCTGCTCTGAGCTGTCCGCTCTTCTGTCTTTGCTTCGGGAGCCCCATGCAGAGTACAGCCCTACAGGGAAGCTTGAGGGGCTAGAGCCATCCCAAAATTCACTCTGGCCTCCCCATAGGCACCCCTCCCAGTGATGCTGCTGCTACCCGCCCCGTGCAGGTGAGCCCACCCTGAGTCTGGCCCTAGCCCTGGCCCAGCCGTACCCCCACCTGGAAGAGGCCAATGTAGCCCCTGGCCTTAAGCCCACAGTGGGCAGTCTGCCCTCACCCCGGGGCTCTGCCCACACACAAATCCGGGGGGCAGGGGGGCGGTACATAACCCCATGCATTTTTGTCTCCCTGCCGCTGACTAGCTGAGGGACCTCAGTGGCCTTGCTGCCAACCAGCTAAGAGACAGAAACGGCATCAGGTTTAAAATCGCGGCTTTTGCTTCCCTGCCAAGGAGCGAGCCACAACTGGAGCCTCTGATTGGTCAGTTAATCCTCCTATGCTGGCAGGGAGCGCTGGGCCAGGAGACAGCTGGCCAGGGCTGCTTGCTTCTGGGGTGGGGACCTCCCAGCTCTGGCTCCCTGATCGAGGTGCGGGGCTTGGAAAGAGCTTCAGGGGGGTAGGCCCCAGCCCCTTGCCCTGATCTTCATGCGGGGCAGCTAGCAGCAAGTCCCCAGCTGAGTGTGGATTCCCCACCCAGCCAGGGGCACATTACTAGCTGACCCACCAGGAATCGGAGCAGGGGGCTGGGACTTGCCCCTGACTGGGGCAGTTCCCAGCCCCTGTTCCATGATTGCAGGCCAGGGCTGGAGAGCCTGTTCCCTACTCAGCTCTGCAGTCACAGAGCCTGGCGAGCTTGTTCCTCGCTCAGCTCTGGAAGAGTGGAGCTGGGTGGGGACCAGACTGGGGAGGCTGTTCCCCACCCAGCTTCGCATTTCTGGAGCTGAGAAGGGAACTGGCAATCACAGAACTGGGCAGGGAACCAGCTCCCCAGCCCCCACTAACAAGGAGCTCCTATCACCAGCTCCATGGTTGCTAGGGATCTCCCAGTGCCCGCCTCACAACTGTGGAGCTGGCGCTGGGTGATAAGGATCTCCCAGCCCCCACTCCCCGATTGCGATCACAGAGCAGGGGGCTTGGAGCTCCTTGCTGCTGGGGCAGGGGGACACAGTCCTCAGCCTGGTTCTGGGGGCGGAGCCCACCCCAGCAGCAGGCAGCTCCCCAGGGGTAGGAAGCAATCTCCTGGCTCCTGTTGGCTGGCTGACCAGGAGCAGTTTTGCTCCCTGTCAGGCATCTACATAAGCACTACTGTTCAGGTAGCAGTCACAAGTAAATTTGCTACTTGCATTTGCTGATAGCAAATGTACTCGCAATTAGCAAGGTTTACTGTGCAGTAAGCATGTGCATACGTAGTAAAGAATCTCTTGTAGACACCCTGTGACTACAAGGATTGTATTTATGGGCAGCCCCGCATTTAGCCATATGGTGGGGGAAGTATATGCGAAGTGAGGATTTTGGGTCTCTTCAGCCTAAAAAAGAGAAGGCTGAGAGGGGGCTTGGTAGCAGCTTGCTGCTACGTCAGGGGAATACATCAAGAGCTCGGTGAACAACTGTTCCCCAGGGCACCCTTGGGGAAAACCAAGAATAATGGCCACAAACTCCTGGGAGACCGCTTCAGGCTCAACTCTAGGAAAAACTTCTTCACATTCAGGGTGTATAGACTGTGAAATAAGCTCCCTCCAGACACCTCTGCAATCCAGTGACCCCAATCCAGTGACATCCAGTGACCCCAGCAAGGTGACCGTGCAGTCACCTACCCTGGAGATTGGACGGTCACCTTGCTGGGGTCCGTCCAACTTGACCCCAGTTGTCTTTCCTGCCTAGCAGGGGGCTGAACGTGATGATCTTGTGAGGTCCCTTCCAGCCCTGAGCAATCTATGAATCTTTGAAACAGTACATTAGAAGGCTCAACTGACACTCTTCCGGACAGTGTGTCAGAAAGATACTGCATATTTTTCCATTCAAGACATTTTAGGAGAACTGTTGGGAGCTTAGTTGTAATGGAGAATGAACTAAATAGTGTAGGAAACTCATCAAAATAAATTGGGATTTTCTAGCCTATGAATAAATGAGAATTTTTTACTTGATTGCTGATAGTTTCCTAATTTTTAATTATGACCTCTTTGGGAAAAAGAAAGAACTTTGTTCACTTCTTTTTGCAAGCGCTTAATAAAGGAATCTCATCATACAATTTGTTGTGAGTAGGGGTGGATTTTCCCATTGGTTAGACCATGGGAATGAGAGTCAATGCCTGAATTCTGTTCCCAGTTCTGACACTGGATTAATGGCCAAGATAATGATGCCCATTTCTTATAAAGCACTTTGAGACTGTTCAACAAGAAATGCTGTCTTAGCACAAGATATTCCAGTTTATTACCATAAAATAAATTCCAGTATACAGAACTGGCTTACTGAACATTAAGCCTAGCATATTTTTAAAAAAAAAATGTACCTATTTTGACTGTCACATTTAGATCTTCGAGTCCTTCATATTCAGGTATGATGATTCTTTCAGAGGAACCTAATATGGTGGAGAAAATTGTAGTTAATAACTAATTGCTGGATACTCAACATTTTGATATAAGATATTAAGCAAATATTGTAGGAAAAGAAAGACAGTAGTATGGTTGATTTTTTTTTACTTTTGGAAGAGTGTGTTCCAAATTAGTGACCTGGAGGGCAGGAGTGACAGAAGATTTATGCTTTTGACATTGACCGTCAGAGATGTGCTGTGTCGAAGAGGCTGACTAAGGTTTCTGCAGGATGTTGCCAGTTGATTGGCAGCTCTACATTAGGTAGGATTTGTTTAAAATTAACTGTAGAGGTGTATATGGAAGTGATCAATGCATAAAATCCCTGTTAAAAATCCATTTAATAAGAAAAGTTTAGGCAATACAACTTACTTCAGTATAGGCTTTTATGGTTCTTTTAAAAAAAGAACAAAATGTTACCGCTTTCCGGATTGGATTGGATTAAATTAAGGGATTTTTTTTTTAACATTTGCTTTAAAGAAAACTCATTGCAGTTGTTAGTTACTAGAATTTGAATTCTGGTATGCCATGTAGCAAAAAAAAATTTTTTTAAATAGACTTTAGACATTTAAAAATCCTTTTCACATATGACAGAAAAACTTTGAACTGGCAGAGAGTATAACCAAATTAACATTGTGGTTAACAAATTTTCATTATTCAGACTTCCTGCTGTATAATTCTTTTTCCAAGTTACCCAAAAAGATCATCCACTGATATCAGACCTTAAAGGCTACACTGCGGAGGTTGTTGGGTTTTGATATCTAAGTAATGCAGTCAGGCTGATTCATGAAGAGTATTATACAACACTTTGTATAAATATAAGTAAAATATTTAAATTGTTAACATAATTAAACTTAAAAGCCTGTAACTCTTAAGGTGCATGCTTGAATTTACTGGATGTGGGCAATGGCGGAAGATCAAAGGCTATCAGGTTCTTTGGCAGATTTATGGAGAATTCTTTTTTTTGCACTCATCCTTAAGTCACCTGAACCCACTTAAGTAAAAGCTTGCTTTCATGAACACTGCAGCAATTATGTGGGGAGGGCACAGAAGAATAGAAAATCCTGGGCTTTTTGTGTATAATTTTTAGGGAACTTGTGAATTCCCGTTCTATGTTTTTGCATGAAAATTTGGTGGCGGTAGTGGTGCACACGCCCAGTGTTAAGACTAAATGCATGAGCCCTTTGCTTGATGCCCCACATAAAGCCAGATTATGGGGAGGTTGCACTAACTTTTGTTGTTGCCTTGTAATGTCTTGCTGTTTATTAACATAGGGTATCAGTGTCGTAGAAGAATGGACACTGGCACAGAAGCTTCTTCATAACTAATAAGAATAACTTGTCCATTCTTCTTCGAATGCTGTGTCTCAGTATCTGCTACGTTTTGCCCTTTATTGGAGATTCAGAACTTTTTTACCATAATATGGTAAGGGCTCATAACAGAGGCACTAGAACGACTTACAGTGGGATGAGCTATTTGCAGATTCAGCATCGCTAGTCAAAGTTGGACACCCAAGTGGGTATGGTGACTTCATTCAAAGAGGACATATTTTGGAGATCAGTGGGTCACTGTTACAACAGCCAGTAGCTTTGCATTTGACATGTGAGCATTTTCAATGGTCCAAGTTGCAATACGCAAATGCTTTTCTGTCAATGTGTACACCTTTGCTGTGCAATCTGAAACTTTGTATATAATCATAGCTATAGATTTAAGATATTTAGCTTTCAGCTCCTAAGAGTTACCAAGAATTGATAAAGTAACAGCAAGTATCTAAAGCCTCACACTGTCAAATCAGTAAAATTCCCTTGCTGTAAGTTTAGTTTGTTGAGAGTGCCTCAGAGTGGGCTTATTACTTTACTATGGTGTTAGCACTTTTACTTTTATGTTATGCCCAACTAATGTCTTGTGTTTTTCCTCCTATTTTCTTCATCTACTTGTATCGCAACTTGGAAGAAATGTCAAAAAGAGAAGGTATGATCCAAGTCAGCAAGGCCCTATCTGAAAAACTTAAATTGGAATAGCCTCTCCTTGCACTACTGGATTCTGGATACAATGTCTTTGCTGTAGCTGCGCAGAAAATAAGTCAATGAAGAAGAACATTTGGAGTGGCACTGACTACTATGGACCTAAAGTGAGGGTGTTGGGGAAGGGATGAAGGAAAACTGTCCTTTTTGGAGATAAGTTCAGATACTCCCTCCTTTCACCTCTCTCTCTCTCTCTTTTTTAAATGAAGACTGAAACAACAGAGAAGGGAAAACTGTTTCAAACTTGTTTTTTGTTCTTGTTTTCTTAGACAAATAAAGGAAGAAAGGGACAAATAAACCAAGTGCAATAAGAGAACTGTTTAAAAATAGCAAACTGTCAGAAGATTATTTTTCCCAGTCTGCTGGAAAAATATTATAACTTGAGTTGGCATGACTTTTTTCATATTAATGACAAACTCCAGTGGCATGATGAGCTAATTTTTGAAAGGATAAACTGCATGGCATATATACACAACAAGCAAGCTAGCAAGCCAACCCCCAAGCAAAATCTGCAACCAAATATATACAGAGAGGAAAGCAACAAATACAGAACACAGAGAAGCTGATACAAGCTCTTAAGAAATCTTACACCACTGCAATGCATTCTGTCTCTTTGGAGTGAATAGTTCCCTACTCTACAGAATCATTGTTTTCTATACTGGATGAAAATTCCTTTGGGTATGGGAGCTATTGTTTCTCTGAACAGTGAGGATAACGTGTATAGTTCGTTTAGAAAGAAAAGAAAATGTAAATATGGAAATAAGAGATTTTGAGATATCATTTTCACAGAGATATATTGAAGCATTTCCTTATAGAAGGTTTTATTCTTTATGTAAATCTAATTTTGGTGGTTTAATTTTGCTCCCCTAAATTTTAATTTTTCTAGCACGTTGTATAGCGGGTGTTCTGGGCTTGCTCAAAAAAGGCAGATCTAGCATGCAGATGCAGGGAGTTCTGGCACCAAAACAGGTGTGCTCTAAGTTTGTATGCTTGAAACCAAAAAAAAAAAAAAAGAAAAGAAAAAAATTTTAAAAATGTAGAAGGTGTAAATGCATATGTATGTAATGAGTTTAAGTCTCTCAAATTACTTTTTTGGGGCTGTCATGCAAATTTTCTGTATATAATGTAAGAAAGTTGACACGCTCTCAAATTAATCACAAAAGTGCCAAGCTCATCTTTTAATTTTATCTACTATTTTCCTCTGTCTAGCTCTCTCTCATGTGAAAGGAAAACAAGCTTAAGTAAGCCTTAAAATATTCACAAAATGCTGAAAGCTTGAGACAGGCTAAAGCTCTCATTTTTCTCCAGATTCTTCTCTTTCCTTCTGGCAGACCTACAAAAATGATCTAGTCATCCAAGTTACTCTGGGTTCTCCTCTTTACACTGTCAAAGTATAATCTGAAGAAGTCCTTTTACTGATAGCTTTGCTCGGTTTTTATTTCAGGGTTAACATATAATTATTTCTACAGTTCCACATACTCTAATCCAGTTCACTGAAGTCAGTAGAAGTATATCCATTAAGATTGTCAGTTGTTTAGCCCTCATTGAGGTAGGCAAGGCAAAGCTGTAGAGCCCAAATTTAACTCTCATTTATGCTAATGTACATTCATGAAATTCAGGTGAACTTATTAATTTATACCAATTCAAGTAGTTATCAGAGTTTAAGCTAGTGTTATAATGGTGTTTGTCTTTTCTTAAATCAAAAGTAGAGAGGAAATTTATCTTAAACATTAATAGGTTAAAAATGCTATAATCAGTGTTCGTTTTTCTTGTTCAAATGTCAAATCAATTTCTCGATTTAGCTTTGAGATATACACTTTAAAAAAAACTTGCCAAAAATCAGTACTGCATTAACTACACAATTCTCCTCATTACATTTTCTATAAAATGTTTTTTGCTTCAAGTTTGTTTCAGATTAGACATGCTCAGAAGTTTTTTTCCTCTATGAGAACCATAGACTGACAAAAGTTAGTTATTTATCGAATGATATTTTAGACAGCTTTAACTTACTTGCACATACTTTGTTAACACTGAGTAAAAGGTGCTGGATATAGGTAGTCTGTGTTGATACTGATCACTCTAAACAGTATAGAATAGGAGTATTCAGAATTATTTCAGCATGACCTAACTTCAGAGTAACATTTGTGTTGTATTAATAGCCATGACAATGAATACTTTTTGTTTTGAGGGGAACTCAAAGTACTTGCATTGTAATATTGTCCTCTAGTACCTTGTTGCTTAGTTCCAGTTTGCTACAGGGTACAGAGGACATGACACTCTCTAGCAGGTTTTAAGCTTCATATTTTGGTTCTACTCCAAAAATGTAACCATAGTAGAAGTGCCAGTGTGGTTACAAAATCAATTAGGTGTCTAATGTAACTATCTGTGTAATAGACCTTTGACACTAAACATTTCACAGAATAACATTGTAAATGTGCGATGTGATGTTTTTAATCAGACCACAGTGGTCCCCAAATATTATGTACATATGGTAAGTGTTGGAGTAACTTTTTGTTACACCAGCAGTTTCATAGGAAATATGATTTCTTGATTGAATTAATGCTCCACTGTTTAGCTGTGTGCGTGTATTTGTAAAACACACAAGCTTTATGCTCTGTATGTACCGAATGTAAATGACAACACATAACCACATCACCACACAAGTGGATACTAATAATTTTTTTCTGTGGTATTAGAAGGTTATATAGTCTAAATGTTTCAGCTAGACATTGTTTATTTCCTAAGCCATACTTTGCCAAATGTTTAGAGTACATATGCTGATTATGTTATTTTTTTATCATGATAAAAGTGTCACCTTTTAATCTTAATCAACAGAATAAATGTTTAAGGAATGACAAGTTCCCATTTCACCCGCTATACTTTTGCTTTGTTATTTAATAATTCATCTGGACAGGAAAATGTATGGTTACTATACTGCTCATACTGGTATGCTGCATGATCCCACTGAATTGAGCCTAATCCTCTTATAAGAAAAAAATTACTAGGCAAATTTAACAAAAAATATATTGTAGGTGCATGTTAAAAGAAACAAACTACATAGAACTGGAGTTTTACAAAGTTTTCTTTACTATGCAAAGATGGGTATTGCACAAACAAAATTTCAAGACCAATGTCAGAGGAATTTTACAAATACTTGAATTTATTTTTGTTTTAAAACCTGTCAATCATGTTTCATATTCATTGTTGCTTCCACTATTACTCTTCCTTTTTAAAATGATTTGTAATTATTTTTTAAGTGCACAATTTGATGTTATGAATCAGTTTTTGTTTGAAGTTAATACTCATTCATATCTTGTTGGCTGCTGACAAATAGAAATAAAATAGTCATTGTTCTGCATCTCTTAGTAAAATGAGTATTAAAAACTTCATGAACATGGAAGTTGCAATTTATGGTTTTGATCATTTTTCTTTCTTATTACATATACTTCATTTTATTAAAATTCCTGCAGTCAAATCAGCAGGATTACAGGAACCATTAAAGTAGATTGAGATTTTCTTAGTTAAATCAGAAGCTTAAGTAAGATTTTTCCAGTTATTGATAATCTCACTAGTTAAGATTTATACCATTTCATACACTAAAAGATTTTGTCTGTTAGGTCATTTAAGTTAGATGCAGGTGAATTATTGTATGTATATAAAATATATAGATTTTGCAAAAGGACTAGATAGTAAATGGTTGTGATATAGATGCCAATTCTAATCTCCTGTCTGTTGCTCAGGTCACAAAGGAGTTTATCTTTATTTGCATTGCTTATATTATCAAAAAATAAAGCCCCACAATCTTACATTTGTTTGATCTGGTGAACTCCCATTGAAGCCTAGAGGAACTGTATGCAGTAACATTGTTGGATTCATTTAAAAATGAGATGCCAACAGTCCCCAAAAGAATTGGCAACAGAGTCATAACCAAATGGTACCTTATAATATTGGTGAAGAAAGTATAAAATGCTGAACTAGGAACTATATGGGCATTTAAAAATGCTTTGCCCTCAAGGAATGAAGCCCTAACCAGGTACAAAAAAGACATTAGAACAGGTTACTCAGTGTAAATCTGTTTTTGTTCTCATTTACACACACAACTCGAATGAAATCATTCAGGTTGTATGCATATAACAGAGGTTAAAAGTTGGTGGTCTTTTCAGGTTGTTTTTTTTTTTTAAATTAACCTGGGAAATATTAGAAGCGTGAGAGGAATATAAAGAGCTAAGCCACTTTAGTAATTTTCTCTATGCCTTAAGGGGAGTTGCTGTTTTTTTAATACCTCAAAAATTCTATCGTATAATTTCTCAAATGAACTTCACTAGCACACAGAGAAAATTTTCAGAAATGCTTCAGCAAGATAGAAGCATAAGTCTCTCTTGAAAATAATACTTCAACTCCTAACTAGCTAGGTCCCAAGAGAGACAATGGGACTTAGGAGGCTAAATCCAAAACAATGTTTCTTAAAACCTCTGCTCGGCTGCTATGTAATTCTAGACACATGAAGTTAGCAGGTGTCTCCATTTCCAACATCTACCATAGAGATTAAGGATGCAAGTCCATTTGCAGTCTGGACTTTGGAGCTTTTGAAATATGCCAAGAGGCTTCTAACTGACACCGAGAGGCTTTGTATCATTCCCAAGTGACTCAATAAATAAATTGATTCCTTGATAAAACTTGAGGTGTTACTATGATGGAATTTTGACTCAACTTCACTTAACACAACACAAAAAAACCCAGCACTGGTCTTCAATCCGCTTTGGTGTTAATGTTCAATTGAGGCCTCTGGCAGACATTACTTGAAGCCATGATGGGATCTTATCCTCAATCCCAATGTTCTCACATCCTTCCATACCACATGTGTATGGCAGAATACACAATTTTGGGATTAGGCATTAGATCCCAATCATGCCCCACTTGCTGGAGCAAGGGGAATCTAGGATGAAGCCAATCACCTGATTGTCAGTTAGGACCAAGAGCCAAACTGGTCCCTGGCCTCAGCCAACAATCAGTTTGGCACACGGATCCCAGCACTGGACTACTGCAGCCTGATGCTGGGTTCCCTGTACACCGGACCTGGCCTCAAATTCAATTTAAGGCATGATGCAAACGAGCCACAAAATTATTATATATTAAATGTGGAATAAGTTTGTGGCTCATTTACTGCATTATCAAGCCTTAAATTGACTTGTACATGTGGCTCAGTTACTATTTTAAGGCATTTGTCAATTGCATCTTAAAGGTAATGTGC